GGATATAAATGTTAAATTTATTAGTGCACTGTTCTAAAAGTTAATAACTAGTATATATATTAAATTTAATAGTACAATGTACTACACGTTAATAATTGATATAAATGTTAAATTTATTAGTGCACTGTTCTAGAAGTGAATAACTGATATAAATGTTAAATTTATTAGTGCACTGTTTTAGAAGTTAATAACGGATATAAATGTTAAATTCATTAGTACACTGTTCTAGAAGTTAATAACTGATATCAATGTTAAACTTAATAGTGCATTATTCTACATGTTAAGAAATGATATAAATGTTATATTTAATAGTGCACTGTTCTACAATTTAATAACTGATATAAATGTTAAATTTAATAGTACACTTTTCGAGAAGTTAATAAATGATATAAATGTTAAATTTAATACTTCATTGTCCAATAAAACACCAATTACAAGTTGTAAATAAAGCTTCTGAGTAGTAAGTGAATCCCCTCAATTTTTTCATCATTTTTGTACAAATTGTATGAAGAATAATTATAGAAAAGTGGGAAACAGCCCCCCTGGTATATGAGTATCTGCTGTGGGGTTTTCAATCGTCATCGATACAGTTATTGCAATTATATGCAGTGTTAGTTTAAAGTGAGAAAAATAGTGTAATATCGTCTTTCTATAAAAGCATCCCATTTCCATTTCGTTCACAGGCTCAAGACGTTGGCATGATGACAGCGTATCATAATTACATCATAACATCTTTAGTAAGTACAAAAAAAAAAACTGTTGCTATGTTATTTTATCTTAATAATCCCGCAAGGAAGTATCAACTGTATCATTTAGTAAATGTTTATTCTGTGTCAATTAGTTAAATAAGAAATTATTAAGAATTTTACGGCTTGGTTATGAAATTTAGCAATTAAAAACATATTTTATACAATTACGTACTTTACACTAAAATTTATGGTTCGATTTTCGTAGAGAATGAAATAATAGTTGAAGAACATCAAACATGAGTATAAACCAAAGTCGATAACTAATGAACAGGATTTATACAACATACATTATTGTAGACCTAATACAGTGTTGATACCTAACGTTTACACAACATATATTATTGTATACCTAATACACTGTTGATAATTAACGTTTACACAAGATATATTATTATAGACCTAATACAATGTTGGTACCTAACACTTAAACAACATATATTTTGTAGACCTAATACAGTGTTGATACCTAACGTTTATACAACATATATTATTGTAGACCTATTACAGTGTTCATACCTAACGTTCACACAACATATATTATTGTACACCTAATAGAGTGTTGATACTTAACGTTTGCACAACATATATTATAGTTACGACAGCGAAAGTCACGTGACGCTGGTAACACGTGATGAGTTTCTAGAAGGATCATGACTGTTCCTGGAAACTCTAATCTTTTCTATGCGCCCTCTATTTTAGTATATAAGCCCGGCAAATAAAGCGGAGATGACAGTTGCAGATAGGGAGATATAGAGACAGATAATCGAGTCAAGTCGTAAGTAAAGTGCGTGAATCGTTGTGAATTATAGGGTGTGTTTAACCCGATGACTACCGGTACTAACTTTCTTAGTATGCAATGCAAGTGTGCATTTGTGAATTGAAAAAAATGATAGAGAA